TCTAAAAATAAAGTTCGTTTCTGCTTGACAAGTGGCTTATGAATTGTGCCCAGCCAGACTGAGGCAGAACACTTTTTCATATATTTGTTGATTGATTGTATATCCTCTTCTGAAAAGTGTCTGTTCAGTTCATTAGCCCATTTATAGATGAAGTTATTTGTTTTGGGAGGGTTTTGTTATTGCTGTTGTTTTGGTGTTAAGTTTCTTGAATTCTTTATATATCCTGGAGATTAGTGCTGTAATTCATTTGGAAAAATAAGAGACCGAGAATAGCCAAAGCAATCTTTAGCAAGAAGAATGAAGCAGAAGGCAGCATCACAACACCAGACTTTAAACTATAGTCCATAACTCTAGAAACAAAAGTGGCATGGTATTGGCACCAAAAAAAAACATGTAGATCAATGGTACAGAAGACACAGAGACAAATCCACATAAATACAGTTACCTTGTATTAGACAATGCCACCAAAAACATACATTGGAGAAAAGATAGCCTCATCAACAAATGGTGTTGGGAAAACTGAAAATTCATATGCAGCAAAATGAAATTCAACCCCTATCTTTCAGCAAACACAAACTCAACTCAAAGTGGACCAAGGATCTAGAAATTAGACTAGAGACCCTACTCCTAACAGAAGAAAAAGTAGGCCCAAATCTCCATCAAGTCAGAAGTAGCTATAAAAAGGGTATTCCCCCAAAATACTGAAAGGCAATCTGCTGACATCTGGGTCAAAAGATGAAGATCAAAGTAAACAACAGACATGTTGACAGCTTAGCAGGAAAAGCTAGGAGAGAGATCATTTGAATAATTAGAAAATTGCAAGTTTCCTGCATGTGGCTCAGAGAAGGATACATGCTCAGAAAAGATCTAAGAAACCCTAATTTTCTACCTCTGGTTGGTTTTAGGCTTATAATAAGCAGAAAGCAAAAGCTAAAAAGCAGAGTTATAGGTATAGCCAAAGCACTAAAGGACTTCTCCAAAACAAAGCCAATCTACAATGACTGGAAAAGATTCTTTTGTTTTTTATATTTAATTCTAGGCATTCAAGAAAATATGTCAAAACACTAGCTGACTACATATTAAAGGAAGGAAGGTTTCAGGGCTTGGGCTGTAGCTCAGTGGTAGAGTGCCTGCCTCACTCCTGCTTCACACATGCATTGCACTAGTTTGATCCTCAGCACGACATAAAAATAAATAAAGGTATTGTGTCTACAACTAAAATATATATTTTTTTTTAAAGGAAGGAAGGTTTCAGAAACTAAAAATGATGAAAACTATGGGCTTTACAAAAAGTTTAGAAAAACCATTGAACAAACAAAATCCATACCTACTTAAAAAAAAAAAAAAACAAGGAGGGGAATAACATGATTTCCAGAGCTATTATATTATGCTATCACATTTTAATATTCAAGATGTTCAGTTTTCAACTTTGGTTTTTATTATGAAACATTCAAATAAACAAGTAAGTAAGTGTGGCTCATTCCCAAGAGAAAATGACAGAAACTGTCATTAAGGAAATACACAAATTGAACATACTAGACAAAAACTTTAAATCAATTGTCTTAAATAGTTCAAAGAGTTTAATGTAACTATGGATGAAGGTCTCATGGAAATCATGAAAATTATGTCTTAACAAATGAAGAATAGCAACAAAGAGACAGAAATTATAAAATGGAACCAAATAAAATTACCAGAGCTGAAAAGTACAATAACTGAAATGAAAAGTCCTGTAGAGGATATTAACAGCTGATGTGAGGAGGAAGAAGAAAGAATCAACAAAATAAAGACAGGTTAAAAATATTATACCCAAGGAGCAGAAAAAAAAAAGAATGAAGAAAAATTAACACAGCCTCAGAGACCTACAAGACACGATCAAGTATACCATATACACACAATGGGAGCTCCAGAAAAGGTTCAACTACACAAGAAGATATTGTAATTATAAACATATTGCACCAAACAGCAGAGCTCCAACATATATGAAAAACAAACACTGACAGACTTTAAGGGAGAAAGAGAAACAATTCTACAAAAACAGTTGGAAATTTCAATACCTCACTTTCAATAATGGATAAAAAATCTAGAAAAAAGACCAATAAGCAAATATAAGACTTGCTGAAAAACACTGTAACCAACTAGACCAAAAAAACACATAAAGAATATTCCACCCAATGATAGAAAATGCACACTTTTTTTTACAAGGACACTTAAATGCCTTTTTAAATCATTGGTTATTTTTAGTTATACCTAAGAGTAGGATTCATTTTTTACCTGATTATAAAAGCATGGAATATAATTCATTCTCACTCAGTTCCCAGTACTTCTCCTTTCCCTCTCCTTCTCCCTCCCCCATTCCCTTCCCTCTGCTCTACTGATCTTACTGCTATTTATTTACACTTTTTTTAAAATTAATGTCTTGTGGAAATACATGATGGTGAGACTTATTGTGGTATATTCATTTCCTATCTATGTAGGAAAGTTAGGTCAGATTCATTCCACTATCTCTCCATATCCTGTCCCTCCTCCTCCCTTCTCTTCATTCCCCCTTCATGTACTCCACTGATGTTTTATTCTTTATCCCCTCCCCCCTTTATTTGGGATCAGCTTCCACATATCAGAGAAAACATTTGACCTTTGACCTTTGTGGACTGGTTTATTCCACTTAGCATGATAGTCTCCAGTTCCACCCATTTACGGGCAAATGCCATAAAGTCATTCTTCTTTATAGATGCACAATTCACAATAGCAAATCTAGGGAACAAACCTTAAATAGATGAATGGATAAAGAAAATGTGGTGTACATACACATTCCTATCTTAGAATATTTTCTAGGACAGACCATTCAGTAGGTCACAAAACAAGACAATAAATTTTAAACGATTAAAATCATGCAATTTATCTTCTCTGAACCTAGTAGGATAAAGGAGAAATCAGTAATAAAAAGAAAACTGGAAAATTCATAAATATTTGGAAATTAAACAACAAAATGTTAAACAATTTGTCAAAGAAATCACAAGGGAAATGAGAAAATACTTGAAGATGAATGAAAATGAAAACACATCACACCCAGAAACATGGGATGCAGCAAAAGCAATGCTCATAGTGAAATTAATAAACACCTATGTTAAAAAAAGAAGAAAGATCTCAAATAAATGAAGAATAATTTTGTAAAAATATAACATATCTAAAGATACAGGCATATGGATTTGCATCAGGCTAATTCCAGAAGGATATACATCAAAATATTAATAAAAATTACTTGAGTGCTGAGAACATTTTTCCTTTATACTTATTTTTCTTGATTTTCTTCAATTATTATACTTAAATTATAAAATGAAAAAAAAAACAGATCTGCTATACCAAAGCCAATAACAATACCAATGTGTTTAAAGCTGCAAATCACAGCTTATATCTCTTACTCTAAACACAGTGTTCATATGCTCCACACATTCTCAAATAAATAAAAATGGCAGATAATTCACAAATGTGTATTCAACAAACACTTCTTGAGCACCTATTATGTTCTAGGCATGGTTACATAAATGATTTTATTTCAGTGTGCCTAGTGACCCCTTTCTGTTCCTTAGTACCAAGGTTACCACATATAGATTGATCACAACTATTTGTGATTAGATTTTAAACCTCATCTCTAGTTGCTAGATGCAATTAAACTCCTATTGATGGAATGCCTAACCATCTATGGCCTGCCTCAGTGATTCTAGGCTTTAGAAAATCAAAGCAAAATGTCTCATCAATCACCACCTCTTTACTATCCTGCTCACGATTACAGAGGGCCTGCTGACTTTGAAGGAGCCAGATCTCAAAATCTGGACCCCACTGTGGCCACCACCATGAGCGCAAAGTCTCTACTTGTTAAATATTCCTTCTAGTATCTTTCCTCTACTTTCTTTACTCCCTCCTTTCAGGAACTCTGGTTTGGCCTCCTCCTAAACCTTCTTTCTGCTGTAAGATCACTGAATGTGTGATTCGAGAATCCATTCTCACTGGACCTCCTCGCCTTTGCCTGGTGGTCCAGGCATAAACTATCCATCCAATTCAGCAAGAAAACACCTCGGGGCCTGAGTTTCCAAAGGGGATGCTTGTTACAAAGGGGATGGGAAATAGCTGCTAACCTGTCCCATGAGACAGAGAAGGAGTGGAAGGACAAAAACTCTCCTTCTACATTCTTTTACTGTAAAGAAAAAATCCAAATGCTTTGGTAACATGAGTGTTAGATCTAAACTCGTCCTGGTACCACTGAAAATAGCACTGGCACTGTTTTGTAAAGATAGTACAGAAAAATAAATTCTTGTTTTTTGTTGTTGTTGTTTTGGGGGGTGGGGTTGTTTTGTTTGGTTACTGGGGATCAAACCCAGGTCACTTTACCACGGAGCTACATCCCCAGTCCATTTTATTTTTCATTTTGAGTCAGGTCTCACTTAGTTGCTTAGGGCTAAATTTCTGAGGCTGGCCTCCAACTTGTGACCCTCCACCTTCGGAGTAGCTGGGATTATAGGCATGCACCAGAGGGCAAGGCTAAAAAAAAAAAAACATTTTTAAAGAAGAACATGTGGCCACATCACTCCAATATCGATAAGAATCTAAAGAATAACATTTAGATTCTAGCATTTTAGATTTACTAGCACGGTGCCCAACACTAACACACCGTGCCACACAACTCTAGTAAGACAGAATTCAGAATTAGGAGAAGCAGGACTTTGGTTTGATAGTAATGGTGACCTCTGTTTAGGTACGTGGCCCCCATGCGGTGTGGGGGTGTGAATTAGAGGAGTGGCACCTGTGAAGGTCTAGTTCTCACACCACTGCGCCCCTCCGCGGGTACTCTGGAGGCATCCACATGGGCCCCAAGGTCTGAGTGCTGGAGATGGTGGGGGAGCCCTGGTTGCCTGGGAGTGGCAGTCTAGCTCCTCAGTAGAAGGCGCTGCTGGACTTCCCACTGCAGTCAGCAGCCCTGCAGTACTGCAGAGAGCCCTGCAGCCAGGCGTTCACCAGCCTACCCAGGCAAGAGCCCAGGCGGGAACAAAGCCCGCGGAAGCCTGACTCCACGGGTCTCCAGGACAACCGAGCGGCCCCGCCCACGGCGCCTGGCAACTGAGACCAGTCAGGGAGACCTCAGAGAATGGAGGATCCTGAAGAAGAGGATCCAGGAGAATCCCTGGAAGAAGAAAGCCCAGTCACACCCCCAGCTGCTGGCCACACTGATAACCAGGAAGAAGACAACCAAGAGAACCAGGATCAAGAGAAGGCATATGAACAGACTCATTACAGAATAGCTGACCAAAATGGCCAAAGAGGATCTGGAGCGCCTGAACCCTTCGTGTCTGACCAAACTAACCAAAAAGATTCTGAACACCTGGAGAATAGCTCATATGATCAGGCTGACCTACAATCATCTGAACCGACTGATGACAAGGCATACGACCAAGTTAAAAATGTAGCAGCTGGGGAGACTGATGGCCAGGTGCCTGGCTTGGCCGAGGAAGGAACTTCTAAACAGACTGAAAGAAGCTCGTCTAGACAGGAGGAGAAAAGAGCTTCTGAGCAGGCCGACCAGGCTGAAGGAAGAGCTTCCATACAGACTGACCACAGAACGTCCAGCCAGACTGAGGAAAGAACTTATGAGCGGACTGGAGATAGATTGTCCATACCATTTGATCCAAGAACCTCTAAACAGGAGGACAGCCTAGCTGAGAAAACTTCTGAGAAAGTTGATCAAGTCGACCATGTAAAGACCCTCTACAATACTGAAGACCAAGCCACTGAAGAGGCTGAACAGCAGACTTTTGACCAAGCTGATCAGCTTAAGGTTGGCAAGGATGACTACAGTAGACCTGACCAGGCTGAACGCCTTGTAGACAAAGAGACTTACCCTAAAGACTACCAGTATTCCTATGGGTCTGAGTACGGATTATTACCCCAGTTCAGAGATGACAAAGAGGCTCAAGACAGACCACAGCCCTGCACATTTGAGGATAGCGAAGTATACCTCAAATCCACACTTTCAAGTGAAATAGAAAAAGGAGGTATAAGCCCTACGCAATCCCACTACCCAATTGATACCAGATTCACTGAGCATTTTCCAACAAAAGAACAAAGTTTTTACCAAAGATTGCCCTCCATCTCAACTAAATCGGATGACATCACTCAAGAAAAATATGAATCCGCAGAATTCAGTCCTGTAGGTTAAAGGGGCATTTGATACCTACAGTGGGTGGAGGGGAAGAAAGGCCTGTGGAATGAGGGTAGGGATAAGAGGTGAGAGGACACATGTTGGATCAAGAATGAGGATTAAACCTACATGTTGTATGTGAGCCATAAGTTTCAGGAAGGGCAGGAAAAGAATAGGAAGAGATGAATTTCTTCCTCTACTACTCTTAAGGTCATTCAGGAAGGATCAAGGAACTAGGATTTAGAAAACCTAAGTTTCAAATTCTGTTCTGTTATTAACTCTGTGGCACTAAGTTACCTCCCCTCTTTAGGTTTCTACTAAGGGAAGAGATTTGGATTTGATTGGAGATCCCTGTGAAGGGACAGTATTTGAAGTAGATTGGAAATATCTAAGGTGTCCGCCAGGACTTTAGGTATATTATATTGCTCAGAGGATGAGCTCAGTCACATTTCTCTGACTGCTGCTGTTAAGATACTGTCGGTATTAGATTTCACTGGTTGTGACAACAGCAAAAATTGCTGGAGCTTTTTAAATTTATTAAAAATTCCTTGGGGGAATATTTCAATTTCAGGATGATTATTCAGAATCTGAACAAGAAAAGAGTTCTCATATGCCCAAACAAGATATATATAAAAAGAGATTGCCTCCTGTAGTTTATGAAGATCCTTATCAAGTTTCACTTCAGTACATGGAGAAGCACCAGATTCTGCAAATATTCCAGGTAAATCTCTCAATCTTTCTCTTTAATTGTGAGTTTAAAATTAGTTGTGGGGGCTGGGGCTGTGGTTCAGCAGTAGAGCACTTACCTGACACGTGTGAGGCACTGGGTTTGATCCTCAGCACTACATAAAAATAAAGGTATTGTGTCCACCTAAAACCAAAAATATATTTTTTAAAAAAAGTAGTTGCTAAGTATGTGTTCAATCAAAATACATATAAAATATATAATTGAATGATGTGAGTACATTAAACATATCTGAATATTTTACACATAAAACTTGCCTGATTGTTATTCCCTGCAAATGAGAAGTATATTTTCTTTATTTTAATTTCTTTTGTTATTCAATAACAACAAAAAGGTATGGAAGTGAATCTTTGAAATTTGATATATCCTATCTCCTTTAATATTGCAACATAATTAACATAATTTTCACCCTTTAGAATCAAATGTCTCAGAAGAAAGGCTATACATAAGGTTACATTGTGTTTTCAATTTTTAGTTAAAAGTCTTTTCTTTGACTATTCTTCAAAGCAAATAAAAATTTATTAATTTATCAATCTAGCAAGATCACAATTATCTAACCAAAAACTTCTCCAAAATTTCTCACTACCTCTATCTCCTTAGAAACTACTAGAAATATCCATTTCTATTTATTATTAAATTTTTATTTCTCCAGATTTTATTTTAATCTGCCTAAGTTTTTCAGTAGTAAGAAAGTAAGTTGTCACTTTGTAGAAGTACTTTAATTTTTTTCAAAATGCTATGGTATATGTTAGGTTCATTGGTATAATTGATCAATTATAACCTAGCTGCATGACTTCCTCTTAGAACCAAAATGTGATGTCTTATGCTCTCTCAGCAGATCACTGAAAATTTAGTCTATGAAAAGCCAGAGGACCCCCTGAGTTTTATGCTGTTTCAGGTATGGAATAGGAGAAAAAGAATAACCTTTTCATTTGCATTACTGTGAAAGTACATATATTTTTTTTACAAAACAAAACATATACAACTCTGAATTTTCATGCAGTAAACATACTTCTATTTACATTCAAGTATTTAAAAGATAGAACATTGCCACCCTCCCAGAAGCCCCTTTTCCTTCCCTCACAATTCTTACTCCCCACAAAGTAATTATTCATGTGATATTTATAATAATAGCTTCCTCACTTTTTTATATATTTTTACGGCTAACCATGAATCATGAAACACTTCTATTTAGATTTGTCAGTTTTTCACTGTACATAAAGGGAACCATATATAGCACATATTCATTTGTATCTTGTTCCTTTTGCTCAAAATCATGTCTGTGAGATTGATCCATCATTTATGTGTAGCTATCCTTCATTCATTTTCATTGTTGTATGGTATTCATTGTGTGGAATATTATGATTTATCCATTATATTTTAATGGACATGCAGATTGTTTACAACTTGCAGCTATTTATTACAAAAAAAAACTTTTTTGCTATGAACATTCTTGTATGTCTCTCAGTGACACATTCTCTTGAGTATTCATTCACCTTGAAGAGCAATTGCTAGATTGTGAGATATGTATTTGCTTAGCTTTAATAGATTGTTTCAAACAATTCTCTAAACTAACTGATTACACTTCCACCAACAGTGTATAAGAGTTTCAGTTGTTTACTTACCAGTGCCTACTATTGTCAGTGTTTTTAGCATTAGCTGTTTTGGTAAGTTTCATTTTGCCTTTTCCTGATTACTAAGGCAATTAATTGCATACCTTTTAATTTGTTTATTAGACATTTGGAAATACTTATTTTTTTACTATTTGAGACCGTTTTCTACATCTACTGGTTATGAGCTCCTTGTGATTGTTTGTTGCATGTATCTTCCCACAATCTTCTTTTCTAGCTCTTAAATATCTCTTTTAACGAACAGATTCTCTTTAATTTTAATATAGTCAAATTTAATATTCTTTGTCTTTACAATTAGTACTTCTGGTGACTTGTGAGAATTCACTCCCCACTCCTGACTATGGTTTTCTATATGGTTGTAGAAGTTATTTGTGTGTGTGTGTGTGTGTGTGTGTATGTGTGTGTGAAAGAGAGAGAGGGAGGGAGGGAGGGAGGGAGGGAGAGAATGTGTGTGTGTGTTTGAATATAAGTAAACTTTTTAAATTTTATTTATTTTAATTAGGCATATATGACAGCAGAATGTACAAAACTGCATCATAACTTTACATTTCTATGGTTGTACACGATGTAGCATCACACCATATGTGCAGTCATACATGTACCTAGGGTAATGATGTCCATCTCATTCCTCCATCTTTCCTGCCCCCATGGAAACTCCCTACCTTCCCTCCCCTTTGCCCAATCAAAGTTCCTCCATTTTTCCCATGCCTCCCCACTCCCCATTATGGATCAGCATCCACTTATCAGAGAGAACATTTCGGCCTTTGGTTTGGGGGAATTGGCTTACTTTACTTAGCATGATATTCTCCAACTGCGTCCATTTACTTGCAAATGCCATAATTTTGTTCTCTTGTATTGCTGAGTAATATTCCATTGTATATATATAGACCACAGTTTCTTTATCCATTCATCTACTGAAGGGCATTTAGGTTGCTTCTACAGTTTAGCTATTGTGAATTGAGCTGCTATGAACATTGATGTAGCTGTGTCACTGTAGTATGCTGATTTTAAGTCCTTTGGGTATAGACCAAGGAGTGAGATAGCTGGGTCAAATGGTAGTTCCATTCCAAGTTTTCTAAGGAATCTCCATATGCTTTCCAGATTGGTTGCACCAATTTGCAGTCCCACCAGCAATTTATGAGTTTGCCTTTTCCCCAACATTATTGTTGTCTGTATTCTTGGTAGCTGCCATTTTGACTGGCATGACATGAAATCTTAGAAATAGTTTTGATTTGCATTTCTTTAATTGCTAGAGATGTTGAACATTTTTTCATATATTTGTTGATTGACTGTATATCTTCTTCTGAGAAGTGTCTTTTCAGCTCCTTAGCCCATTTATTAATTGTATTGTTTGTTTTTTGTTGTTAAGTTTTTTGAGTTCTTTATTTATCTTGGAGATTAGTGCTCTATTTGATGTGTGCGTGGCAAAAATTTGCTCTCAAAAATGTAGGCTCTCTGTTCACCTCATAGTTTCTTTCGCAGAGAAGAAGCTTTTTAGTTTTCGTTTATCCCATTTATTAATTCTTTATTTTATTTGTGTGTTTTTTTAATGGAGAGGGTTGTTTTCATTTGCTTGTTTGTTGCCTTTCTCATTTATATTCACCATCTATTTGGAATTGATTTTTTTGGTAGGGCAGAGGTGGGGTCAAGTTTCATTTTCTTCCAACAGATGTCCAGTTGACCCAAGTGCCTTTTAGTATAAAAACTATACCTTCCAGCTGGGCACAGTGGCACACACCTGTAATATCAGTAGCTCCAGAGGCTGAGGCAAAAGGATCACAGTTCAAAGCCAACCTCAGCAAAAGCAAAGCACTAAGCAATTCAATGAGACCCTGTCTCTAAATAAAATACAAAATAAAGCTGAGCATGTGGCTCAGTGGCCGAGTGCCCCTGAGTTCAATCCCTGGCACCCCCCCAAAAAAAATCATTCCTTCCCCACTGTTCTTTATTTGTATCATATATAGTATATTTGTTGATAATCCTGTTTCACAACAAGACTATCTTAATTAGTGTGCACTGGAACTGTCTTAATATCACCCTATTCTTCTTCAAAAATATCTTGGATATTCTTGGACCTGTGCATTTCCTTATCAGTTTTTAGAATTATTTGCCAAGTTACACAAACATAAACACAAGCACACACTAGTGAAATTTTATATTGAGATTGCATTCAATCAGATTATTTGGGGAGAGGTGACAGCTTTAAAATGAGTATTTACAATCCTTGATCCTTTCATTTATTTGAGTCTTCTTTAAATTCTCTCAGTATATGAATTATTGACATAAATGTTTTTCATGACTTTTAATAGTCTTATTTATAGGTATCTAATGCTTTTTAAAAAACAATTCACATTTATTATTGCACAGATTCTTAGATCAGAAGTCCAAGCATAGCAGAGCCAGTTTCCCTGCTCAGAGTCTCATAAGCTGCAAACCAAGGTGTCCCTGAGATGTATTTTCTTTTCCTTTTTTTTTCTTTCCATAATTTTTATTGAGGCACTATAATTATATTTCATGGTGGGATTTGTTTTTACACATTCATGCATTTACATGATATAACAATATAATTTTTATCAATATTGTTTCCCTCTTCTCTTCCCTATCCCTGGTTCTTTCCTCTACTAGTTTTCCTTCACTTTCTATGAGATTTCCCCCCTCTCTTCTTTTCCTTTATACTCTCTAGCTTCCACATATGAGAGAAAACATACAACCCTTGACTTTCTGACTTTGGTTTATTTTGTTTAACATAGTATTCTCAAGTTCTATCCATTTCCTGAAAATGACATAATTTTATTCTTTTTTATGGATAAATAAAATTCTATTTGTGTATGTGTGTGTGTGTATATATATATGTATTTATATACACATATGTATATATACATAAATATATATATTTATTTATACCACATTTTTCTTTATCCATTCATCCACTAACAGACACCTAGGCTTGTTCCATAATTTGGCTATTGTGAATTGTGCTGCTATAAACTATAGATATGCCTTTATCACTATAGTATGATGACTTTAATTCTTTAGGGTAAAATGCAAGGAGTGGTATAGCTGGATTAAATGGTGGTTCCGTTCCTTGTGTTCTGAGAAATCTTTGTACTGATTTCAGTTCTGGCTGTATTAATTTACAATCCCACCAACAATGTCAAAGTGTTCCTTTTTGCCCTCATCCTCTCCAGCATTTATTATTGTTGGTATTCTTGACAGCTGCTATTCTAACTGGAATAAGATGAAATCTGTGTAGTTTTGATTTGTATTTCCTTAATTGCTAAAGATGTTGAACATTTCTTCATATATTTGTTAGCCATTCATATTTCTTCTTTTGAAAAGTGTCTGTTTAGTTCATTTGCCCATTTTATTAATTGGTTATTTGGAGGTTTTGGTGGTAAGTTATTTTGAGTTCTTTTTATAGTCTGAATCCTCTGTCAGAAGAGTAGCTGGTGAAGATTTCCTTCCATTTTGTGTTTTTCTTCACATTCTTCATTGTTTCCTTTGCTGTGCGGAAGCTTTGAAATTTGATGTCATCCCATTTATTAATTTCTAGAAATGGAGGAGTTCTGTTGAGGAAGTAGTTACCTGTACGTATATGTTGGAGTGTTGACTCTACATTTTCACTTAGGAGTTGTATAGTTTCTGATATAAATCCTAGGTCTTTTATTCATTTCAATTTGACTCTTGTGCAGTGTGAGAGATAAGGATCTAGTCCCATTTTTCCACATGTGCACAACCAGTTTTCCTAGGACCATTTGTTAAAAGGGATGCCTTTTCTCCAACATCTACTTTGTCACTTTTGTCAAGGATCAAATGTCTGTTTCTTTGTGAGTTTGTCTCTGTGTCTTCTATTCTGTTCCATTGGTTTTTGCGTCTGTTTTTTATTCCAGTAACATGCAGTTTTTGTCACTATAGCTCTGTAGTATTGTGATACCTCCAGCCTTGTTTTGTTTTGTTTTGTTTGATTCAAGATTGCTTTGACTACTCTGTCTTTTCTTCTTCCAAGTGAATTTCTAGATTGTGTTTTTTTCTAGTTCTATGGAAAATGTCATAGGTATTTTGATGGAGATTACATTGAAACTCTATATTGCTTTGAATAATATGGACATTTTATCAGTATTAATTCTGCCTACCCATGGACATGGGAGATCTTTTCATCTTTTGATATCTTCAATTTCTTTTTTCAGTGTTCTATAGTTTTCATTGTAGAGGTCATTCACCTTTTTGATTATATTCCTAGTTTGGGGGTTTTTTGTTTGTTTGGGTG